TTTTATGCCAGTACCACACTGTTTTCATTACTGTAGCTCTGTAATAGAGTTTGAAGTCAGGGATGGTAATGCCTCCAGAAGATCCTTTATTGTATAGGATTGTTTTGGCTATCCTGGGTTTTTTGTTTTTCCATATAAAGTTGATTATTGTCCTCTCCAGATCTGTGAAGAATTTTGATGGGATCTTGATGGAGATTGCATTGAATCTATAAATAGCCTTTGGTAGAATTGCCATTTTTACTATGTTGATCCTCCCAATCCAAGAGCAAGGGAGGTCCATCCATTTTTTGGTATCCTCTTCAATTTCTTTCTTCAATGCCTTAAAGTTCTGGTCAAATAGATCTTTCACTTCCTTGGTTAGATGTACCCCAAGATATTTTATGCTGTTTTTGGCTATTGTGAATGGTGAAGCTTCTCTGATTTCCCTCTCTGCTTCCATATCCTTTGTGTATAAGAGGGCGACTGATTTTTTGGAGTTGATCTTGTATCCTGCCACATTACTAAAGCTGTTTATCAGCTGTAGGAGTTCTTTGGTGGAGTTTTTGGGGTCGCTTATGTACACTATCATATCATCTGCAAATAACGAAAGTTTAACTTCTTCCTTTCCAATTCGAATCCCCTTGATTCCATTATGTTGTCTTATTGCTATTGCTAGAACTTCAAGCACTATATTGAAGAGGTATGGGGAGAGTGGACAGCCTTGTCGTGTTCCTGAGTTAAGTGGGATGGCTTTGAGTTTCTCTCCGTTTAATTTGATGTTAGCTGTCGGCTTGCTGTATATAGCTTTTATTATATTTAGGTATGACCCTTGTATCCCTAATCTCTCCAAGACTTTTAACATAAATGGATGTTGAATTTTGTCAAATGCTTTTTCAGCATCTAATGAAATGATCATATGGTTTTTTTCTTTCAGTTTATTTATATGCTGGATTACATTGATAGATTTTCGTATGTTGAACCAGCCCTGCATCTCAGGAATGAAGCCTACTTGATCATAATGGATAATTTTTCGGATGTGTTCTTGGATTCGATTTGCCAGTATTTTGTTGAGGATTTTTGCGTCGATATTCATGAGTGAGATTGGCCTGTAGTTCTCTTTCCTGGTTGAGTCTTTGAGTGGTTTTGGTATCAGAGTAATTGTGGCTTCACAAAAGGAGTTTGGTAATGACCCTTCTGTTTCTATCTTGTGGAATACATTAAGGAGTATAGGTATTAGATCTTCTTGGAAGATCTGGTAGAATTCCGCATTGAAACCATCTGGTCCTGGACTTTTTTTGGTAGGGAGGTTTTTGATAACCTCTTCTAATTCTTCGCGACTAACAGGTCTATTTAGATTGTTCACCAGGTCCTGATTTAACTTTGGTATATGATATTTATCTAAAAAAGTATCCATTTCCTTTACATTTTCGAATTTTGTGGCATATAGGCTTTTGTAGTAAGATCTAATGATTCTCTGAATTTCCTCTGTGTCTGTGGTTATGTCCCCCTTTTCATTTCTGATCTTATTAATTTGCAAATTCTCTCTCTGCCATTTGATTAGCTTGGATAGTGGTTTGTCAATCTTGTTGATTTTCTCCAGGAACCAGCTTTTTGTTTTATTGATTTTTTGTATTGTTTTCTGTGTTTCTATTTTGTTGATTTCAGCCCTCATTTTGATTATTTCCAGTCTTCTACTCCTCCTAGGTGAGTCTGCTTCTTTTTTTTTTTTGAGCTTTCAGGTGGGCTGTTAAGTCTCCAATGTGAGCTTTCTCTGTTTTCTTTAAGTGGGCACTTAGTGCTATGAACTTTCCTCTTAGGACTGCTTTCATAGTGTCCCATAAATTTGAGTATGTTGTTTCTTTATTTTCATTGAATTCCAGGAAGACTTTAATTTCTTTCTTTATTTCTTCCTTAATCCAGCTATGTTTCAATAGTTGACTGTTCAGTTTCCATGACTTTGTATGCTTTCTGGGGGTAGCATTATTGTTGAATTCTAACTTTAATCCATGGTGATCTGATAAGACACAGGTGGTTACTAATATTTTTTTGTAACTGTGGATGTTTGCTTTGTTACCGACTATGTGGTCTATTTTCGAGAAGGTTCCATGAGCTGCAGAGAAGAAGGTATATTCTTTCCTATTTGGATGGAATGTTCTATAGATGTCTGTTAAGTCCATTTGATTCATTACCTCCACTAATTCTCTTATTTCTCTGTTAGGTTCCTGTCTGATTGACCTGTCCATTGGTGAGAGAGGAGTGTTGAAGTCTCCTACTATTATTGTGTGCGGTTTGATGGCTGCCTTGAATTTTAGCAATGTTTCTTTTATGTACGTGGGTGCTTTTATATTAGGGGCATAGATGTTCAGGATTGAGACTTCATCCTGATGAACTGTTCCTGTTATGAGTATAAAATGCCCCTCTCCATCTCTTCTGATTGATTTAAGTTTAAAGTCAACTTTGTTAGAGATTAGTATGGCCACACCTGCCTGTTTCTTAGGTCCATTTGCTTGATAGGCCTTTTCCCAGCCCTTTACTCTGAGTAGGTGCCTGTCTTTGTGGTTGAGGTGTGTTTCTTGTAAACAGCAGAATGTTGGATCCTGTTTTCTTATCCAATCTCTTAGCCTGTGCCTTTTTATAGGTGAGTTGAGTCCATTGACATTAAGTGATATTAATGACCAGTGGTTGTTAACTCCGGTCATTTTTTTTTAGTCGTAGAGTTTGTGTGTTTCCCTTCTTTGTTTTGTGTTGGTGAAGGGTCTCTAGATGTCTGAGTTATTGTGGTCATTGTTGGACTCCTTGGTTAGTGATTTTCCTTCAATTACTTTCTGTAAGGCTGGATTTGTGGCTGCATATTGTTTAAATTTGTTTTTATCCTGGAAAATTTTATTTTCTCCATTTATAGTGAATGAAAGCTTGGCTGGGTATAGTAATCTGGGCTTGCACCCATGGTCTCTCAGTTTCTGCAGTACATCTATCCAGGACCTTCTGGCTTTCATGGTTTCCATGGAGAAGTCAGGTGTAAGTCTGATAGGTTTACCTTTATAAGTAATTTGGCCTTTTTCCTTTGCAGCTCTTAATATTCTTTCCTTATTCTGTATGCTTTGTGTTTTGATAATTATATGGCGAGGGGATGTTTTTTTTTGATCCAGCCTATTCGGTGTTCTGTATGCTTCTTGCACCTTCATAGGAAAATCTTTCCTTAGGTTGGGAAAGTTTTCTTCTATAATTTTATTAAATAGATTTTCTGGACCATGGAGCTGCCCTTCTTCTCCTTCTTCTACTCCTATTATTCTTAGGTTTGGTCTTTTTATTGTGTCCCATATTTCCTGAATGTTTTGTGATGAGAGTTTGTTGGACTTGCTGTTTTCTTTGATCAGTGTGTTTATTTTCTCTATGGTATCTTCAGAATCCGAGAGTCTTTCTTCTATCTCTTGTATTCTGCTGGTTATGCTTGTTTCTGTAGTCTCTATTCGTTTACCTAGATTTTCCATGTCCAGACGGCCCTCTGTTTGTGTTTTCTTCTTTGCCTCCATTTCAGTTTTCAGGTCTTGAACTGTTTCCATTATCTGTTTGATTGTTTTTCCTTGGTTTTCTAGGGTATCATTCACTGATTTATTCAATTCTTCAAACTTTCTGTTATATTTCTCATCCATTTCTATAAGGGCGTTTTTTACATGCTGTTTAAGGGTGTCAATCACTTTCATGAAATCAATCTTTTCTCCTTCCTCTTGATTAAGGGGTTCTCGTCCTCCCGTTGTGAGGTCGCTTGTTTCTGGTAGCTTCATGTTGCTTTTCAGCTTGTTGGGCGAATTCTTGCCTTGACGTCGGCCCATCTCTTCTTCCAAATGCTCCCTATGGATCTTCTTTTACCGGATTAGGTCTCCTTGCCTACCAAACGCTGTCTCTCCCCAATGTTGGCTCTCCCAATGCTGGGTCTCCTGGCGCCGAAAGATCAGGCCTCCGTGCTGGTTGGGCAGCTCGCAGACAAAGCGCCTACCCCGCTTGGTGCAGGCAGGCCACAGAAACAAAGGAACTGCTGCCCGCCCGGGAGCCCCGGATACTCGGACCCTGCGCCCAGATAGGCTGGGCTGGGCGATGCCACGCACCTAAAGAGGGCAGTGGGGGCGAAGTGGGGAGGGCTCTGGACGGAAGCTGGGTGGGCCAGGAAGAAAGAGGCAGCACCCGGGGAGTAGAGGCCCTGCAGAGAGCCCAAGCAGGACAGGGGGCCAAGAAACCCCCGAGCTCCCCGTCCCAGGCTGGCGCCGTGGGCCAGAAACTCACCCCAATGCTGGGTCTCCTGGCGCCGAAAGATCAGGCCTCCGTGCTGGTTGGGCAGCTCGCAGACAAAGCGCCTACCCCGCTTGGTGGAGGCAGGCCACAGAAACAAAGGAACTGCTGCCCCCTGGGAGCCCCGGGTACTCGGACTCAGCGCCCAGATAGGCTGGGCTGGGCGATGCCACGCCCGCCAAAAGAGGGCAGTGGGGGCGAAGTGGGGAGGGCTCTGGACGGAAGCTGGGTGGGCCAGGAAGAAAGAGGCAGCACCCGGGGAGTAGAGGCCCTGCAGAGAGCCCAAGCAGGACAGGGGGCCAAGAAACCCCCGAGCTCCCCGTCCCAGGCTGGCGCCGTGGGCCAGAAACTCACCCCAATGCTGGGTCTCCTGGCGCCGAAAGATCAGGCCTCCGTGCTGGTTGGGCAGCTCGCAGACAAAGCGCCTACCCCGCTTGGTGCAGGCAGGCCACAGAAACAAAGGAACTGCTGCCCCCCGGGAGCCCCGGGTACTCGGACTCCGCGCCCAGATCAAAAAAAACTGCATACTTTCTTCCATCCACAGTTCAAAGAAGGAAGGAGCAAGCAAGAAAAAGAAAAGGGATAGAAAGAAACCTGACTGAGATAGCAAAGCAAAAATATACCTAATATTGTAAGGAAAGAAACCCCAATAGCTGTATATGTGCTGCAAAAAAAAAAAAAAAACAATGATCTAAAATAGTAACAAGATCTTCTTAACAAATGCCATTTTCCTACCCGTTACCATGATGGTCTTAACTGACAATGCTGAAGCTTCACCATGGCAACGGAAACTATCATCATAAAATGGTACAATAAAAGAGATAGCTAGACCAAGAAGGTGTAGGGTCTCCCGGAAAGAGGTCTGCAGAGAGGCCCAGTAACTGGTTGTGCGGCTCAGTGTCAGGAATAATGGTTGTATGGCGGAAGGGGATGCCCGATGCCATTTTGGAAGTGATGATGCTGGCGATGAGCAAGGTATTCAGCATAACTCAAGGTCATCTTTTCACTGCGGTACCTAAAAGAGAGTTGGGGAAGAGAAAAGTTAATATCAAGAAACAGATGATATGCTATTATCGAGCTAGGAGGTTCCTAAGTGATTATTTTATGTAGTAAGAAACAAAAAGCCCTCAGAGAAGCAGTTATTTGCCCAAGGTCACAATGTTGGTAAGTAGCAAAGCTGAGATCAGAACACAGAAATCCAGCCAAGCCCTGGTGGCGCACGCCTTTAATCCCAGCACTCGTGAGGCAGAGGCAGGTGGATCTTGGTGAGTTTAAGGCCAGCCTGGTCTACAAGAGCTAGTTCCAGAAGAGGCTCCAAAGCTACAGAGAAACCATGTCTTGAAAAAACAAAAACAAACACAAAACAGAAAGAATAAACAAAAACAAAACAAACAAACAACAACATAGGAATCCAAACTCTGAGTCCAGTGCTTTTTCTGCTCTTGTACTTGTTTAAAGTGCATTCCCTTTCACCCAATTTGAAGCATGAAGGAATGGAGAGAGCTGATCTTTTTTATCATCATATATCTATCTGATCATATATACATCGCATTCACTGGGCTATTTTTCTTCAGAGACCTTCCATCTCTTCCTCCCTTACCATTCCTTTCTGTGTCCTTGTCTTGGTTTTTGACACTATGTTACAACCGATTTGCACTGGAACCCTCCTCTTTGCCTATATCAAGTTATCTTTCCACTGCCTTACTTTTCAAGGAGAAGCAGTTTCTCCCTTCGCTCTCCTTACTCAATCCACTGACCAGCATCCTTGGTTCTGCCACTGTTCTTTCATGGCTGTCATAGGTTTCTTTGGATTCTGTTGGACCTTTCCATGATGGTCCCACTTACTACTTGCTCTTTGGTCTCATGGTTTATACACCCCCACCTGTCTCTGGTTCTGTTACAGAGTCTCAGATGGCTTATCTCTTTGACAGTTGTTCTTACTCCTACGTTGTAGAATTTTCCTAGGTTCATAAATTCACTGTTTAGACTTTATACTCTGCCCTCCTCAGTACACCAGATCCTTAGAGCTTCAACTTTGAACTTCTCATAGACTATTCCAGAGTATCAGCTGTATCATGAACTTTACACATATACATTTGCAGTGCCATGTTAGACAGTTCTATGCAGACACAATTCAAATCCAGGTCTGAAACATAAACCTCAGTCTTCTTCTCATGGTCCCTATATGTTTTTTCAAGGAATGACCTTGGTTCTTTTTATCTTGCCTTCTTCATGTCTAAGTGATAGTCAAGTGCTTCACTTCTTTCACAATATGCTTCTATCTGTCCCAGCTTCCCTGTCCTGCTGCTGCAGCTCCAGTTAAAGGCCCACACTGTATTTTGTTTAGACTGCTGCACAAATTCTTAGAAAACAGCTTTCCTATATCATTTACCTGTTCCAGTCCTATACTTCCCAAGTTGACATTTTTAGACAGGGTCTTTCTATATAGCCCTGGATGTCTTAGAACCCACTATGTAGACCAAGCTGGCCTTGAAATCACAGAGATCCACCTGCCTCTGCTTCCTGAAGGCTGGGATTAAAGGTTTGTGCCACAATACCTGGCCTGGAGTATATATTTTAAAACCCTATAATGGCTATCAAATGTCTGTAGAATCAGGTCCAAATTTCTTAGTGTGGAATACCAAGTCTTGCATTGTCTGACTCAATCTACTTTCTGGGCCACATTTTTCTTTAATGACATGTCCTATATGCAATGAAAGACCAGCCGAATCATAGTGCTTTGCATTTCTTAAATCTGGCTTTCTGCTTCACCAGCTACATGCTTTGATTCACAGCACATCTTCAGGGAATCCCTTTCCTCCCTCACTTTCTACCTGTCAAACAGTCTACCCATTTTTCAAGCCCAGCCCGAAATCCACCTCCTCTTTGGAGTCTTCTGTCACCCACTGACTTCCTGGAGTTCCTCTTTCTCAGCATTATGATCCTACACATCCATAATACTCTGCCTTGTAATAGTAATTATTTTTATCCATGCCCTTCTATTCTCCTCAAACTATAAACTAGGGGAGAACAGAAATGGGAGCATTTTCAAATTTTTAATTATGCAGAGCTGAGAACAATCCATTTTTAAACCACAGGCATGTAATGCAATTTTCTGGAATTGAAATATGTGAAAACAGTAACCCATTTTCCTAAATGTTCGATACTTTCCTTCTTAAGTATCCCTATTATTCCATGATGAAATTTATTTAGCATTCAAGTTCAGCTCAATTGTGTTTTTCAATAAGCTTTCATAGTAGACTCCTATCACTTCCAACATTCCAAGGTTAAATCTAAATTTTAGGACTGCTTATCAGAATCCTGGAGTTCTGCAAGGCAATGTCAAAAGTTAGTGAATAGCTAATTCTGGTACTTTCGTCAATAAAGTAGTTTAAAATCTCAGGGGTTAGTTGTAAAAAGCTAGAATAATCACACGGAGCTAAAGATGGAAAGGATGGGCTCATATATCATGCGATATTTACTGCCAAGCAGAGTTCCATTGTATCTACTCTTGGGATGTCTCTGCCATTTGTTTCCACTATTTTAGATAAGAGAAGCAAGTATAGTTGGAGAGACTAAAGCAATCAAAGCATTATATGCATACACTTAGAAGGGTACTGGTTAGTCTTGTGCTACAAGATGCCATGGTACCTGGTCAGCTTTATAGTTTTCCTGAATTCATTAGTAATCGGAGCTTTGTAGCCTCCTTTTCTCAGTAAGGAGTCAATGGTCTGAATATGGTCCCATCCTGTGGAGAGGCAATAAGACAAAATATCAGTCAAGCACCTATCACAAAGCACCTCTGGTTAAGTACAAAAATAACTTTGTAGCGGTCAGCTATCACTGTGGCCAAATGCTGTCAACTCCTTTGGTCCTAAAAAAAAGTCATAGAGAAGAGCTAAGATTTTATCCTTGTACAGAAGCAGGTTCATCACCACATGCCATAAATTGTCTAAGGAACTGTTCAGTCATGTCTCTGTACCAAATGTACTCTTCTCTAATAGATATACCTTCAAAAGGGAGGAAAAGCCTAAATAAATAAAACATGACTTGTATTAACTCACTAGGATTTGGGGCTCCTATCAGGGAACCCTGATTGCTCTTCGAGCAGATGAGGGAGGGGGACTTGATCGGGGGAGGGGGAGGGAAATGGGAAGCGGTTGCGGGGACGAGGCAGAAATCCTTAATAAATAAATAAATTTAAATAAAAATAAATAAATAAATTAAAAAAAAACTATTTCATGGTGACTGCTGGTCTTAATGGCATCTTCTATGCTCAATAATCTAAATTTGTGTGAAATATTCAAGGGCATTTTATTGTTTCTGATATGAATGTTATTCTGATATCCTTATGAAGTCAATGATCCTGCATTATTAAGATATTTTCTAAAGCAATCCAAATAAATCTTCACATAACTGCCGTAAAGATTAACATCTCATTTGAGGACTAGCACATTAAAATTTGTTGTGATACCTTTCATATTTGTATGAGCATACACAGGGAAAGCACATTTCAGATGCTTTCTGAAAAGATAAGCTCTACAGAATTTTTAAAAGCATTCATTTGAACTTATGTGAGACTAGTGGCTTGAAAGGACAAAGTACTAGAGCAAAGCTGCGTGGAGTCACCATATTTGTTCATAAAGGTGTGTGGCATATCTGTGAAATAAGAAAATTGTTATCGATCATGAAGTATAGACTAAACATAAAGTGTTACTTTGTGGATTCACAATGTTCCCAATCTTAATGGGAAGCTTACAGCTTCAATATTAGCAGAATGAATAATAGCAATTACCTAAGAAGAATGGTTAGATATTGACAATGAGTAACGTCAAACTACACGCCTGTCTCTAAGCCCAAGGTCTCTTCATGCACCATGCTAATTACCGCACACTGATGCAGGAGAAAATTGTCTTCCAAAGCAGTAACAAGCTGTTGCTTAAAATAAACCCCAACTTTTATAAATTGGCGCTATTTTAAAAGTATGGATTTATGAGTATATGTTGTCAAATGTCACAGCGGAGATGCAGATTCTGTGTGAGTGATTCACCGATTTGAACCAGACATTGCAGTGGCAGCGATGAAAGGGTCAGTTATTATAATGTGACATTGATCAATTAGCGGACATAACTGCAAGGTCGGCTACTGCACTTCAGCTTAAAATTGTCACTAGATCATATGAAATAAAGTACAACAATACCTTGCTCCTTTGCAACCTCTGGTAGGTAGGTGGCGGTGCGTTTTGATCCTTTTTCATTGATGAATTCTATTCTAATGCCATGTACACCCACCTGAAAGAAATTGGCAGTTTTATTAGTACAGACTTCTTCATTGAAGCAGAAAGAAAAGGTTATCATTTAACTTTCAATGCAATTCTCCCCACCTTTGTTTTTATTTATTTTTATTTTTCCCAGAGCTGAGGACCAAAACCCAAGAATTTGTGCTTGCTAGACAAGTACTGTGCCACCGAGCTAAGTCCCCAATCTGTTCCCCTTGTTTTGAGAAGTATGTACTTCTCTGTTTTTCAACACACTGATTTGTGGATTGAAAGGCCAGTATTATATCCATAGAGACTAAAAAAAAAATGCTGACTTGTATGTGTCCAACATATGCCAGGCTATGCTACTTTGTTTACAATCTGAAACAAACTACATGCATAGAGGAGGATAGTTGATGGCAAAAATCCTGCCACAATTCCCAACCTGGAATAAGGAACTGACTTCAAAGAGATAGCAAAAACCCCATGCAGTCACACTCACAACGTCAGGTTATATCCTCAACCTTCCTGTACTGACACCCTCACAAGTTTTAGTTCCTTTAAAACCTTAACTCCTATGTAGACAAACCAACACCGTCTTATAAGTCTGGAAAAACAGGCTGGGCTCAGTGGTGCACATGGAAGGCAAGACAAGAGTATTATATATTTGACGTCAACCTGCACTACACAGCAAGCTCCAGGGCAGCTTGGACTATATAGTAAGACAAAGAAAAGACAAAAAAGAAAGAAAAACAATCAGACTGTACATTTCATAATATGTTTCAATTTAACAGCAATAAAGACTTCAAATTACCTCAGGAGGGGGTATTTTTGTAGTTTATTATCCTAGCCCAGGAACCACTGTAACGTTTTGAAGTGTGAAATAAACTTAGTGATACCCGAAAAGAGAAGTCTATTGACTATAGGAAGATCTATTGGTAATGTTTTGTTTGTTTTGAAGCAAAATCAATGTGCTTTCCCTTTGATTAGCATATAATCAAAAGGAAGTGGTCCTTTACCCTCATAGAAAAAGCTGCATACAAAGCTGAAGAGAAAGTATTCAAAGTTCTTAACTCCTTTAAAAACACTGATAAGAAAAATGTAACTTTCAAAGCATGACCATCCTGTTCCATTCTCCCCATCTCCAGGTGCCTGAGATCAAGAGTGCCCAAGCGCATACTATAAGGCTGCTGACACACTAGAGGACAGATGTAAAGGCAGGTCCACTCTATACCCAGACTGAGGCTTCTTCTTAGATCAGATGAGTGACGACAGAGTCATATGTTTCCATGTGTGCACACATGTGAGAAGCTCTTGTGCTGTTTCTACCCTTTGGCAGAGTTTTCTAGTTTTTCAGGGAATGAAATGTCCCCTGGGAAAAAGATGTCATCCTATCTTCATTATATGTACCACTTAAGCCTAGCAGATCTTTGGAGCAATTATTGTTTCTTCTTCTTATTACTAAAGTGTATCCTTGTGACTATTCTATTATATACCACTATTCCCACGAATCTCCTCTTGCTAAAAATGCAGCCAGGATGGCTGTTTAAAAGCCATCACAGTAAGGCTTCTCAGATCCTGTGGGATGTGAGCGTGGACAGCTGAGCAGAAATGTCAGTGTGTAGTTATCAAATATTTCCAGGATGAAGGGCATCTACCAGTCACCCCAAAGTATGACACAGCACTGAGGCAATGGCAAATCTGATACTTTATACTAATTTCCTGATCAGTGACTCTGAAAGTTTATTCTTTGACAATATCAGATGCTTCATAATTTGTTTCTTTAAAATACACAGTACAGGTAATTTATGCTCTATCATTCGCCGCAGTGAATTTTGAATCGTTACCTCTATTTATCAAAAATCTGTCATGTTAAAATTGAAAATAATTTTGGTGTTATTAAGATGTCTAGTCACAACTCTCAGACTGTTCCTTATCTGCACGATGAGAGTCAGGCAAGGCTCATTGATATTTAACTGTCTCGCAGAGAGGACAGGGATGAAAACATGATCAGAATCGCAGTGCTGTTCACAGTCCAGCAAGTATGGTTTGGAAAAGGAGCAACTACTGGAGGTGATTTTTATCTTATCTAACCTAAATAATCTCTACTAACCATGAAAGCTCTGGCAAACTACAAGCTCTGTGCCTACATATTGGGGGGAAATAATTAGTTAGATGGAAAGCTAATTTAGACATACAAATCTTTTCTTTATAGGAACACAGTCTCTTCAATGAAAATCTGACATTTTAAATCTTAGTAATTTAATAATTAAAAGAGGCTAAGACTAATTGCATGGTATATAAATTGTTTCTTGAAAAACTTGTATATCTGAGATCAAAACTGAAGAACATGCTGAATAAAATAAAAATTACTCACCAGCAGGATTGTTTATTTAGTTTTATATTGTGAGAAGACTTAGGCAACAAATCTGATTTTAAGAAATCCACCTATAGATAACCTTTTTGTTTAAGATATTTTGAGTTGGTTTTCTATTTCCAGAAAGCGAGTCTTGACTAATAACAGTATCTACCAACAATGAAACTTGACATATTTCAAATTAAGCATCATAGCCACACTGAAATTATTTTCTAAAAGAAAAACAGAAGCTAAGAATAAGATACCACAAACCCATAAAAATTACTGGTAGAAAATTCAACCAAAGAAAATCCGTGTAATTGTTAAAATAGATAAGGTACATTGTTTGTGAATCAACATGGAAAAATGTCCATAGAAATTTGAAGAATGGAGTCATCTATCTATCTATCTATTTATCTTTCAATTGAAAATAGATTCTTCTCTTATATCATACATTCCAACTACAGTTTCCCCTGTTCCTACGGGTATTGAAAATTGAAAGAGATATTTCCAAGAAACATCAGGAATTTTTTATAATGAGGAGGAATGGATTCTCAGCAATAGAAAACAACCAACATCTAAGATAAGATTAGAGACTGGTAGCTTAACCTTTGTCCTTAAAGTTTACTGACAACAGCTGACATTGTTTCTTTTTTGGTAATCAAATTCTAAAAATAACCAAGAGGGATGGATGGATATATATATATATATATATATATATATATATATATATATATATATCCTGGCTATATTTTACTTAAATGGATATGTTAATTATTGTCATACTCTAGGAAACACGAAACAATTTCTGTTCAAGTCATGTTTGTCCTAGACCCCCACGCTATGGGTGATGTAAAGCAGTATAACCACCCTCCTACTTGAAGAGCAGGTCTGTAAATTTGTTGGAATCAGCGGCAAATAAAGTTCAGTAGTGAAAAAAAAAAGAAAGAAATCCACCTATTTTTCTGGGTTCCTATGATTTGAACAACTGAAAGCTCCAATAAATGTGGTCATTTTAAAGTAAATGCTTTGTGAGAAGCAACATGTTTTTTTCTTTTAGTTTTTTTAAAACTTCATTTTACATTCCATCCACAGTTCTCCCTCCCACTGACCCCTCCCCTCTCCCCAGCCCCGCCCCCCGTCTACTCCTCCCAAAGGGTAAGGCTCCTATGGGGAGTCAACAAAGCCTGGTACATTACATTGGGGCAGGACCAAGCCCCTCCCTCCTGCATTAAGGCTGAACATGGCATGCCACCATGGGGAATGGGCTCCAATAAGGTAGCTCACCTCCAGTAGTTACTCATTTTCCAAACCATACTTGCTGGACTGTGAACAGCCCTGCGATTCTGATCATGTTTTTATCCCCGTCCTCTCTGCGAGACAGTTAAATATCATTGATCCTTGCCTGACTCTCATCGTGCAGTTAAGGGATAGATCGTGGTATTACCGCCAGGTGCCTCACACATAGTTCAAAGAGAAGCAACATTTTTCAAAGGTCAAAAAGTTATTCCACCAAGCCAGAAAGCCCAAACTAGGATGACTCATTTTTTCAACTAGCAGAATCAGGAGAATGGGAATAACGTTCTATTTGGTACTTGTTAAGTACTATTTGTGCATGGACCCATGAATGCCAACAAATAATTATATTGAACAATCAACTCAGGAGAGTGGAAGTCAATTCTGATCAGCCTATAGAAATCCCTGGCTTTGCAAACTATCTTATTCACCAAAATGAATGATGCTATAGTTTCAATACAAAAAGTCCTCCATTAACTCCTGTGCATGGACACTTGGTCTCCAGCTGGTGACCTCTGGAAGGTGAAGCCTTGCTGGAATAAGTAATTCAGACAGCGGTGGTGGGGGTGGTAAGGTTTTATAGCTTGGCTCCACTTCCTGTTCCCTCTTCGCCTGATTCTGAACTACTGATGCATTGTGAGGTGCTAGCCTCATCCTCCTGCTACCCTGCCATTCTCACTACAATGGACTGTATTCGCCCTGGAACTGTAAAGCCGAAATAAATGCTTTCTGCCTTAAATTGCCTTTGCTGGGCTGTTTCATAACAGCTATTGCTGAAGTTATCAATGAGATATGGGATCAGTTACATAGAGAACTGGGATTCCATGAAGTAAGTCTGCTCTAAAACTATCTTAGGACCTGTCTTAGAATGGAAAAAGACAAAGTATCTAGGAACAGAATGACAATCAGTAATATTTTCCTAACTAACTGTGCCACTTTCCAAAAATACAGCCAAGTAGGTAAAACCGGGAGACTACAAATCTAGTTTCAAGGGACTCTGCAGGTTGGTTTCAAAATGATTAGAATGTCAGAGAAAAAAATGCTTTCAGGGTCCACTGGCTGCTATATTATTGGTTTAGTCAAGACTGTACTTTTGCTAAGTAGAGTCATAAATCAACTAGAACTGTAGTAAATTAAATATAGGACTTATAGATAATAGGATATGGGGTTAAAGAGAGCTATATCTATGTGTGCTGAGCAAACATTATGACCAGTTCAACAGATTTCTATTTCATGATAAAAAGAAAGCCATATTTATTCAGAGTCATTCCATAGCAAGTAATTCTCACTAATATTATAAAATCTTTCATTTTTAAACACTGTTCAGAATAATTACATATCAAGATTAATGTTGAACCTCCAAATATATTATCTTGATTATT